AGCGAAACGGCAAACAGCTGCCTGACAATAAGAGTGAAGGCTATGAAAAAGCTGATTAGGCGATTTATCCGGTACGGTACACTGCTTTCAGGAAGAATCACTGATGTCATTTCGCCAAATTTATTTAAAAAATGGAATGTCAAAATATTATATATCAAGCCATACAACAATGTCTGCCATATTTGTTCAAAAAATTAAAACTGTTATAGAGCGAGTCCATTACAGGTGCGCAGCGGCAGTGGTGCAGGCAGCGGACACAAAGGGCAAGATTACATTTTGATCTGAAGGGGCCGCAGGGTCTCTCTGCACCGACGATTAAGGGTCCGATTTTAGTGTCCGCAAAGCTGACCAGAGTTTTCCTTAAAGGGCTGGACCGCAGGGCTGGGGGCTCAATTGTCCAGTCAGTGGGCCCTTTGCGCAGATTGAGGTCCCCTGAGTCGATAACGGCCCTTATATCGGTCAGGCACTACCAGTGCCAAACAATCTGCTCCTTGTCTGTCTAGGCCAGAGGGCCAGTTTCCTAAGCGGGCACAAGGCCAGGACCCCCAACATTCGTCCGGCCGCGAAGTCACTGAGGGGCCCCTGTGTCGGCCAGAGGCCACATTGCCTGACAAGGGTCTTGTGTTGGCAAGGGGCTCTAAGTCAGCTAGAGACAATGTTCGAGGAATCCTGAAGAGGGCCCGAAGGTCCCCGGGACCGATGGTGAAGTGCCCCAAGACCAACGATGAAAGACCCTCGGGACCGACGACGAAGGGTCCCCGGGACCGACGATAAAGGGCCCAATTGGACCGTTCATGGGCCCAGAGGGTCCGAATGGCTGGCGGCAGGTCACATTTAGGATCCAATCCAGCATGACTGTGAGCTCATATATCAGTCGGATGGCCTCTTGCACCCTGAGACAATGCAGGCCTCTATTTTGTTCAGACACCTCTAACACTGAGCGGTTGGCTCCGCGTCGGTTTTTACCCGGAAGGCCCGTTTTCCAAGCAACAACAAGGCCAGGGTCAGCAATTTCCACTGGTTGGGCCCTTGCAACAATGAGAGTCGTATCTCTGTGTCGGTAAGAGGTTCTGAGTCGACCAGGGGATCATTTGCTCGGAATAGGGACAGGACGGTACCTCGAATGCCGGGGGGCCTCTTGCTTTGGTCCCTTGACACGGCCCTCTGGCAATAAAAGGGATATGAGTGCTCATGAATAAACTCCACATTGAGTGAATGAAATGTCCTGTGTCAGTCAGGGCCCCAGTACCGAAATGGGACCCCACAACCCGATTCCAACCATGCGGCCGTTAAGCCGAACCGGAGTATAATTGCCACTCATTGAACCACCTGTAGCAATAGGAGATCTTGTTACGTCAATGACAATCCCTGCGTCGATCCCGGGCCATCTACGTAGATCAGAATACCCCGCGTCAGTGGTGGGGGGGGGGAGGGTAATGTTTGGCGCATTTCTCTGAGGTCCTCTGACTCGACCAGGGGACCCCGCTCCCTTGCCGTCGGAATGGCAGCCGGTAGGCACCCGGTGCTGGGACGGAATGGCCTTTCAGCTCTTGGCCGGAGACGTTGGTGTGCGCCTAGTTATCTTCCCACAGGGCTCCCAGCCCAGAAAAAGGTAAGGGGTGTCATAAGTGTCTCATGCATGTCATGAGGGGTCAATTCGCACCGTTCAAGGAGTAAACTTGGACGTTTGCTTCTCTTTCTTACTGGGAGGTTGTGCTCTGAACAGACTGATAGTTACAGGAACACGAAAAAGGCAATTTATCCTTACGTTTTCAGTTCTACAATCCGATTCTAGCTCCAGCAAGTAATCTTTTTTCCAACTATCAATATAAAAAATTGTTTAGGTGAAATGTACACCAGGAGAACCCATTAAGAGTACAAATTGATGTTATAAAGTTTTTAAAGGTACTCATTTCAGTTGCTGTGTGGTCATTTTTGTCTACTCGTTGGTCGTAGCCTGATATTAGCTGCAGGACCGACGCCCCGCGGCTAACATTATGTTTCGCAGTTTAACTTTTTGACCTGAACAAGCTAGCAAATCTACGGGGATGCAAGTCTGCATTTTGAAGTCAATGAACTGAAAGAAGCGAGTATTAAATGGCTGCATGGAATAGAACACCAGCGCTATTCATACGACATTAATAAAGTGGTATTTTGCTAAACCGCCAAACCCCCTCCTCCTAGACCAATTTAGAGGCGTTGTCCGGTGGTTTTCCGGTTCCACGGATAATTGAAAACCCCGTGAACGTTGACTAGATCGAAATGGGGTCAAAAATTTACATCAACAGGATTGACCCATGTTCGTCTTGAAATGTTCAGCCTTCAGTCAGAATCGATTAGTGAAACAATTGGCATAGTTCTGGACATGCGCGTTCGCACGTGTTACAGGCAAAACAAAGATTTTCGGTGTCGCTGTCCCCGTAAGCCGCGCGGTGTCGGCCCCGCGAATAATTCGAACTGTTAATTGGCCAACTGATGGACGAAAATAATGACACGTCTGAAATAAGTACTTTTGAGCACTAAAGGACGCCAGTTCATACGCTGAGAAAGCAGTTCTGGAGGATGTTTCACCAGTGCAATTTTTTATATAAATTATAGGAACGGACTAGTACTTACAGCACTGCAACCTGGTGCTGCAATATGGCGCTGGAACTGGAGGAATAACTGCTCAATAAGCATAATTTTTGTTGCTGTGACAGTAATTTGTTCAGAGGACAGCCTAAAAACTATAAATGGAGGGGCTGGAGGAAGCGTCCGCTGGCATGGTTAAGACTGTCGGCGAGAATATTCATCGCAGCCTAGTACCTGTTGGTCCACTTGCCCCAGTATCTGACGGCCTGCTTTGGGCCCGCTGTGACAGCATGCCGCCGCCGTAGCCGTGCCCCAGCAGCGCGGCCGCAGCGACGCGGCTTGGCCGCGCCCGTTCTGCGGACCGCTCTCAACGAGCGTGAAGGTCATCCGTTTGCCGGGAACGCCTCGGCGGGGAGCGTGCTATGGCCTGGTCGGTCAATACCAACAGCCGACAGACGCCGGACTCGATGGCTGGACATCGCTGGCAGCTGTAAATGCCAGGGGGCAGCCTGGCTGGTCAAGACAGGTCTGATCTGTTCTGGTGTGTTCAGTGGCTGTGCCAACGGCGGTGCTAGTGTTGGTGTGGTGCATGCAATGATACTGATCAGGTCTCTGCTTCATCTCATCTGTTTGCGTTGAATTTAGCTTGAACTCCAGGCGAAAGTCAATTAACTTCTCTGGGATTTCGAACACTACTGGGCTGATCTTGCTGCACGAGAGCTTGATAAACCACCGGGACGTAGACTGTCTTTTACCTTACACAGTTTTTTGAAACTGGTGTCAGTGGTGCAACAGGAAAGGAAAGATAGCCTGTGGTGAGGACCACTGATCTACATGGCATGGTTAGTTCTGTATTTCATCCATAGATTCATACACAATGATTGCTGATATCTATAAGCTGTCTTATGTTAGTGGCGGTTGCAGGGATGTTAAGTTATTGGGCTGCAGAAGTGTGAAGTCAAGCTAAATTTGGCCCCGGTAGAAACCTACTAACAACACATTCCTCCTTTGCCATGGAATGGCTTAAAATACTAACTCTGCTAAGAAGCGTGTTCTCCTCCTTTTCCAAAACATATTTACCAAAACATACCAGAAGTCAAAACCATACACAAGAATCGCTTCCAGTATCGCTTTTTGTAAGCACCTGGAATCCCTAAAGACATAAAGCTCTCCCTGATCTTTGCAAAGATATATTTGTCACTTTCAGGACAGGTGACAGGGGTTAGTATAGAGTGTTAATTTGTGTAGTCAAAGTTAACCAACGCCTATGTTCTCCTTATCCCTTACCCCGTACTGTTTTTCGATCCGCCCTTGACAGTCCCTATACATCGTAAATAGCCGAAACCTAAGCAGCACAAGCGAGGCTCTATGGAATTCTTGAGATGAGGAGGAGAGGTCAAAGGGCAGATCGTTCCATAACATGGAGGCGCTTTGCGTTGTGTGAGTTTAGTTTCTTTGGGCATATCTGTAGTCAAACAGGAGAGGGGCGGGGACGGGACTGTAGTGACCCAGAGAGGTATGAAAGTGGTGGACAATTTCTGTCCAAAGGATCGTGGTAGAGCAGTTGTGGGGAACGGAGGCAGCTGCGGCTAGAGGCATATCCCTTTTCAAAAACACTCCTTGTTGTCATGCCAGCTTCAAGACGGGAGCTAGAAAAATTTCAGGCTATCCAATACTGTTTAGTTGCTTCGGAAAATTCATAAGATTTCAACACACTGTCCTTATAAACAGCGTTGGGTGGCTTATTTACCTTTCACTTCACACTCGAAGCACACAAAGCTCAAAACGCTGATATGGTTTGCCACACGACTATGAAGACACCGAGTGTGGGCGATTAATCCCAGGTGGGAATAGGTTTAACTGACGCTAGCAGACATCACCACAGCACGTAAAGCCCGACTCACACGTGGCCCGGCCGGTAATCGGTCTCGGAAGTCAGGCGGCCCGGCCATGCGTGAGCCGGCCTTTGACTGATCACCGCGGCACCTGACGCTTCCAAAATAAGCCAGCCATGATCGCTTTGAACTCTGCTATCATTTTAAGTACACTCTGCTCCGCACCAGTAAGTGTGTTCATGATGGCGTCCAGTCTGTATCTAGCCTGCACCGCGCTGCGGATCCACCGTTGATGTGGCTACAGGTGCCGCCGGCAATCGCTTCCATTTGACTACATCACCAGCTGCCTGGACGCCGGCGTCGTGCGCTCGAACGCGCAGGCAGCACACGCCGGCCATTCACGCCGGTCGCGTCCATTGCCGCACACCTTTTGCCCTCCTTTGTTGTGCATGCGCGTCGCCGCGAGCCCCGACGAGCCGGCAGTGGCCACTGGCCGTCCCCCTTCCTAAAAGCTGTAGTACATTATTGAGGCCGGGCCGGGCCGGGCTGGGGTCGCGGCGGGATCGATGGGCGGCATACCTGGCCGACGCCGCTGTGGTGGGCCGCACCGGCTAGCGGCGTCAGTCACATACACAAACGGGTGCAGTGCGATGCGGTCGAAGGCGAGCCCGCTGCTCAGGTGACCAGCGGCCAGCGTGGCCTGTGACTGGTGCCGCTAGCGGGGAAGCGGCCTGCCACGTACCCGTCCGTGGAACCTGCCGGCGAGCGGCGCCCGGCTGGGCACTGGTACAGGTACGGGTACGTAGCTCACCAAGGAGTTCGGTATGTGGGTGTAAGCATGGCTCCAGGAGTGTAACTAGAATTGCCGCACCGGATCACGTTTTGGCCAAGGTTGAAACGCGTCGTGGTCACTGGTATGCCATTCTCTGAATCCAAGGATCTCGCAACGTGATGGAAATTGAGGTGATAGAAGGTTTTGAAAGTTTTCTAGCGATAACCTAGCCGTTATAACTTATGTATGCGCGCTCATGATAACGGGATGTGGTTTATGGCCTTAATAGTGTCTTGGAGGTCATAAACCAACATCAGGTGTTGAAAGCCACACTAAGAACAGCATCACCTGTTCCCTAACATGACAATATTGTTTTGGTCCTCCAACTATTCGAGAAAGTTTCACATGAGCCGTAAAGCAACTCATGGGCATAATCGACTATGAAAAAGTATGGCCCGTCCCGCCGAATCCAAGATCATGCGAAATCTAGCGCCCTGAGGAGCCTTAGCATAGACCCCAATTCAAATGTATTTGAATCGTTTGAGCAATGCATTGCTACAATGACTTGATCAGGACTGCGTGCATTGCAGCTCTAATTCGCGCTGTGGTTCAGCACTGTCTGCCCAGCCACTTGGCGGCGGCTCCAATGACTTGATTAGGATCGCGAGCTATGCAGGCACCTAACCCCTGCTGGGGCTCAGCACTGCCTGGCGAGCCACCTTACGGCGGTTTTCTGGTGGTCAGGTCAGGGTTTGTGTTCAGGCCGTGCATTTGAGAGCGGCGTCGGCTCTGACTGCCAGCCAGAACGGAGGCGTAACCTGTCGGCAGCGACCGTCGACAGCCCGTCCGACTGACAGAGCTCACAGTGGACATCGAGTCAGACAGCCCGACTGACAGAGGTCGCAGTGGACATCGAGTCAGACAGCCCGGCTGACAGAGGTCACAGTGGACATCGGGTCAGACAGCCCATCTGACAGAGGTCACAGTGGACATCGGGTCTGACAGAGCTCACAGTGGACATCGGGTCAGACAGCCCGACTGACAGAGGTCACAGTGGACAGCGGGGCAGCCAGCCCGACTGACAGAGGTCACAGTGGACATCGGGCCTGTTTACGACTACTCAGCTGCGGTCGCAGGTAGATTTACCACCGACGGGTCTGTTGCATTACGATCAGCTTTGCCATGCCGTCTTGCAAAATCGATCGCCGGAGAAAATTGAATGTTGATTGCATGGTCCTTTGGAAGGCGAGTGGGCGGCCTTGGTGCTTCTTGGTGACAAGGTTGTGATGAACAGCGTTCCGGTTGAATGCGAATGCCAGAGCGGGAATAGCTCAGCTGTTGTTTTTTTCAGCTAGAAACTTGCCTCCGACTAAAAGTTTTCTGGGTTTGCTGCTTCTACGAGGATGTTCCTTGTGAGACTTTGGATTGTCATTTACGGACTTAAAGGAACGATTCGCGGATGTAATGGATCGGCATTGGTTTGGGCGCAGATATGAACGCAAGTGCAGATTGCTAGCGTGTTGCCGGCCAAGCGTTCACTGTTAAAGGCACACATATTGCCTTGCCAAATATGCCAGTGATTACCCTCCCAACAAACTTTTTTCTGTCCGGGATGTAACTTCGTGAAGAAATCAGCTTGTTGGCGTATTTGGGGATAGGTTGTGTTCTTTCTCACAGTTCAGACCCTCCATCTCACCGCAAAATACGCTGCTGTCATTTGTATTCAAGCACTTTGCGCGGAATTAACTATCATTGTATTTCAGCCCAATGCAGATGTAAGTGTACAATGAAGCGAACGTGAACATTATGGCTTAGATATCAGCAGAGGCACTACGGATTTTGAGTTGGGCCAGCACATTGCAGGAGACTCCCCAGACAAAACAGGACCTACTCACAAGAGCCTGCCGGGTTGTGTCGCCTTCAGGGCGGGTAGGGCCGGGGCATGTTTACATTGTCAAATTGTCTTATGTATCATATCTGTGTGAATGAACGTCGACAATTTAAGAATCCAAAATAAGGGATGTCTGGTTAGCCCTCAAAGACACCCTATTCTAGAAAGGGCCTTCTGTTCCGGACAAGGCAAGCATGCAAACATGGCCTCATTATCCAAAACAGGATTCTTTCGACCCTCCAGGGGGGCTCAAAACCAAGCAAAGGATTTTATTACCCTAAAAACCCTAAACCCTAAACCTAAAGCGTCCTAAAACAGGACATCTTGATCCAGAACCGCGACCATCGCATACACGAAAGGGCTTGCTGTTCTAGACAAATGGCCATGAATATAGAGGAGGCTTCTTAACCCAGGACACGGGCCTGCTAGTTTGTAACGGGGTCTCTTGGGCCAGAAAAGGGGCTAAGCAGAAAGTATGACCTCCTGTCTAGGGTATAGGCTGCTCAGTTCACGAAGATGGCCTCATGATCCAGATAACGGGCCACTTAATACAGAAAGGGATTTTTTAGTCCCATTTATTGCTCTCTGTCTCAGTTGTGGGGGCCTTCTTGCTCTGAAATTTGTTAGCGTATTGATACAAAGCCTTTAGCAGTAGCAGAACAGGCCTCCCAAAAACTTGAGGTGAAAAGAATCTTGCCTCCTTGCCTTCCCGCAGTGGGGGAGGCCATCTGCCCTATCTGCTCACCCTACTGTCTTGACACCGTGGTCTATTAAAATTTGTACGCAATCTTCGGCCAATTGAAACTCGGGGGGGGGGGGGGGGGTGGTCGGCCACTTTATCCATGCAATTCTAGCAGGCGCCTGATCAATTTTCTATTCATATCGGTCCAATCAAGGCGTCGATCGATAATGTTAGGACATATTCAATCAAAGGGGGAATTATGCTTGTACAGCATAACAAGGACCGCAATATATACCGCATGTTCCACATGGACCGCATGTTCATATATATATATATATATATATATATATATATATATATATATATGAACACGCATCAAGAAATAAGGCAACGGGTTGTCACAAACTTGGCGCTTTTTGGCAATAATTAGCACGCTTCCTGCCTACACCGAGATGCCATCGCTATGATTGTCCACTCCTGCCTTGTCAATGGACATTGAAAGATGTACAACAGGTTGCAAAAACATAAAGTATAATGCTTTGTGTTTTATCTTGACTTTTATCAGTGGTTTAAATAAGTTTTGAATATTTCGAATTCCAAAAAATCTTTTTCATTACCAGGTCGCACAGTTTGGTTGCCCTCACGTGCATTTCGCCTGTAACGTGAAGCGTAGTCGCCTCATTAAGGGTGGAGATAAAAACGTACGTGGTAAAGAAGCAACTGCGTGGTGGGCTGCGGCCCCCCGTCTCCAATAAGGCGCCTGTAGCCGGTGACTTTCCCTAAATGGAAGCACGGGTCCTGATTTGTCAGCGTCACGAACCCGTAGTAGTGCGTTACTGTGTCTGCGCGGGGGCATTCTTTTCACAGGTATTGCGCACACTTAGCATAAGCCCGAGTGGCCAGTTCGATACTCTTCGCTCGGGTGGGGGTCAATTTGACCCCACCCCTCGAAGGTCTCAGAAACTAAGAGAGCTGGAGACACCAAATGCATAGAATGTGTTGGCCTGTACGTGAAGCCATTTAGGTCAAAGTTTGAGGTTGCTAGGTCATGATCTTTGGGACAAATAGGGTCAAACAACGCCAAATCCCAGGTTGGTCTTTGAAGGACCTCTAGAACCTAGATAACTGTTCTAAGCAAAAAATATTATCCTTACTTAAGGTCAATGAGATTGTCTGACCTTTTTGCAGGCTATGGTGACCAAAATCATACAAGACTGCAATTAGTTTTGCATGCTCATAAGCGATTAAGATTACGCTAGGCAGTATATTCCTAAAGCAAAATGTGACATGGGTCATTTTAGGTCAGTAACCTATTGTGACCATCAAGAAGTCCATGGAAGGAGTATAATGCGATTCCTTTTATCAATAAATTTAAAATGGGTACCAGAAGATGCCCCATACAGCAAGCATTAGAGAAATAAATAGGTTGGTTGTGACCTTGGTATGACCTTCATACCTGACCTTAGGTCGGTGCCATTTGCTCACACAATTGTTGCGTAGCCTAAGGAAGTATATCAGAGATGTATGGCTCCGTCTAACACTCCGTTGTTGGATCAGACTGAACGATTCGCTAGAAATTGCCTTCGCTGAAACCATGGCCTGACTTCGACCTGCCATAGGTCAGCGACCCTACAAGATACATATAGTTGTTTATTTCAAAAGATCTACCATTCAATTGTCTACAACCAGACAAAATTCGTCGCGGCTACGCCACGCCGTTCGGAAACCATGCTGGAAAAACCTTTGGGGGTCAATTTGACCTCCGCCCAAGCGCGTGTTAAACTCGCCATTTTTAGGATGTCGGCGGGGTGCGTCAATGCGTAGCCATTCTCTGCACTTTCGTAGAAAATTGTGTGCTACAATCGCGGCGTTTTTCTTTGCCTTTTGAAGTGTTGCGCCTTTTAGCAAATAACAACTATAATAAGTGGTGAGTACAGAGCTATAGCTCTTTACATAAGGCATCTAATATTTTCTCATCAATCCAACTTTCAGCCTGAGAGGTTTTGTCCGCCTTTGCTTGAGGCCTTCTCAGTTTCTGCAGCACTTATGACTTAAAGTTCAGAAGTGCAACACTCCCTTTGTCCGTGTCTGGGTCATCCGTCTTCCCAGACTCGGAGCTCTCCGCCGTGGGCGCCCCAGGACGTCGTTTACATGGTCATGGGCCGTCCATCTTCCAATGTTCTTGGAAGACCCCGAGCTTGGCTGGGTAGTGTCGCTCCGCATAGGCTTGGAACACTTTTAAGTTGGCTTTGGGCGTCCTTCTATGGTCATTTTCGGCTGGTGGTTCGTGGGCTCTCCTCTGTCTCGACTTGTGGCACCCTCCATGAGTTTGTAAGTGTTCCTCCCCCATCGCCTCATCGCTGGGATGGGGCCTCCGTCCAGGGATAGACCCAAAGGGAGACCTTCGACACTTTCCATGTTGAATGCATATTTAAGCAAGATTGGGCGACGCCCCTCTATGCCGATGTGAGACACCTTCTAAAAGTAAAACATCTGGCTGTCTACGCTCAGGTTCATCCGTTCACTGTTGTACCGCCACCCCCAGCCCCCTCGCCGTTTAGGCTCTTGTAGCCAATAAAGAGCGCCTTAATCGGACGAAGGGGCGCCAGCATTTTCAGGTGTTGATACCTAAGAGCATCTTTGGTGAGCTACTGCTGCAGGTTGCCGTGTGCTGGGAGGTCAGACCCATCTGCTCTGTCGCCAGTCAGTGGAGGACAGCCGAGGTCAGGGACTGACTGCACGGCACCTCGTGCCCCGCCAACCCAACCAGACCGACTTCACAGCAAAGCCGGCAGTGAGAGCTGCACCTCGCGCGCACCCCCAGCGTGAGTGATGCAGCCTGAGTTGCCCTCGCTGCCACCCACTGGTGGGCCACTGAACGCACAGCGTGCAGTTGTGACTGAAGTGTCACACCTCTCATTGCGATGGTACAAGAGTCCCTGGCTGACGCAGAATTGTGAACTCCCCGATTCTTTTTGCCAATGAAAGGCTCCTCTTTGTGTACAGTATGTTACCAGTTTGTGGTGTACTTTCGAGGAATTTGTGCTGTAGTGAGGATGATCCACCATGATTGCCTATTTTCAGTATCGATAAATTTCCCTTCTCTTAGGCTCGAGTGCGTCCTTTTACATCTAGAGACCATCAGTTAGATGGTAAGTGTCCTTCCGCTCCCCCGGTAAGAAGAACCTCACAGTCGGGTGGCCCTGCGTCCTTTCACTCCCCCTGGTAGTGGGTGGTGCAGAGTCTTACAACCAGTCGCCCTGTGTCCTTCCGCTCCCCCGTGGTAATGGGTGGTGCAGAGTCTTAAAACCAGTTGCCCTGCGTCCTTTCCGCTCCCCGTGGTAATGGGTGGTGCAGAGTCTCACAACCAGTCGCCCTGTGTCCTTCCGCTCCCCCTGGTAATGGGTGGTGCAGAGCCCCACAGTCGGGTGGCCTGTGTCCTTCCGCTCCCCCTGGTAATGGGTGGTGTAGAGTCTCACAACCAGTCGCGCTGTGCCCTTTCGCTCCCCCTGGTAATGGGTGGTGCAGAGTCTCACAAGCAGTCGCCCTGTGTCCTTTCGCTCCCCCTGGTAATGGGTGGTGCAGAGTCTCACAACCAGTCGCCCTGTGTCCTTTCGCTCCCCCTGGTAATGGGTGGTGCAGAGTCTCACAACCAGTCGCCCTGTGTCCTTTCGCTCCCCCTGGTAATGGGTGGTGCAGAGTCTCACAACCAATCGCCCTGTGTCCCTTCGCTCGCCCTAGTAATGGGTGGTGCAGAGTCTCACAATCAGTCGCCCTGTGTCTTTCCGCTCACCCCCGCTCCAAGGTAGGAGGCCCATGTTCCGCCCCCACCGACATTCAGTGTTGTAGAGCCTCACAACCAGGTGCCTGCGGTCGTCGGCAGGTTTCCCTGGACGGCCGACGGTCGATGTTTGTGGTGAACCGGGAGAAGTCCTTCAGGATGCTGGGCGACCTGCCGCCACTCACCAACGGCCTGCACGTTCATGAAGAGATCGTCGTTAGCACCGACCGCAGCAAGCTTGGCGAGGCCAATGTAAGAGCTGCATTTTGTCTACGGTGCAACTGGAAAGGCACAGTGAGACACCGTCGCACAAGGCTCAAAATGTTGGGCCCGTTATTTATCTGCCAGAAATGTTGCACCACACTATTAAAGTCACTTTTGTGTGCAGGTGGTTGCTAATTATGCAGGCAATTTGGCAGCAATCTACTTCTTGCACGATATTACTATGGCTTGTTTCACGTGCCTAACTATCACAACACGGGGACAAGGACGCAGTACTTTGTCAACCCACACTTTCAGTCAGCTGTAGCAGTTTTCTTAACCGTGCTTTTTCCTTGTGGATCCCTAGTTAACTGCGACCATGCTAAATGTAAAACACAGCGCAGTGACGTCGAGCAAGTTGACAGCGTTTACAAATGCATCCTGAGCGCTTAACATCGTTCATAGCTATGAGTGAGGACATTCCTTCGCTGACCAAAATGGTGACTTTTATCTCTCAGCCGTCTGCTGGCATGTAGCTGTCGCATAACATGTCTGTCATTGCAGTGTCCGATCTTAATTTGCCTTATTGTGTCATACTACACGACTCTTTGCCCTACCGCATCCCACTACACCACAAGATATTTGTAGGTGGTGATCCGAGTTCAAACTTTGTTCGATATATCAAGTACAAAATTTGAAAAGGAACTTTTGCTACCTTTATGAACTTGTTTGACATATTGTCAGTTACCACAGCCGTTATCGGACGTAGTTTGACAGGTCCTTAACAGTGCCGTGTGTTTTGCTGCCACACATCGTGTTTGCTTGCTCATCATGCTCGTGTAGATGATACCTTATTTAATCATATCAGAATATTATACAGTTTGTCTTACGCCGCACAGTGCGGTGTTCCGGACAGCTGCAAAACACCCTGCACACTACACACTACACACACTACACACTACACACACTACACACTACACACTACACACAGCGGAGGCCTAGCAATACACCTTTTAGAATGTTACCCTCGTTTCACTTATGAAGGTTTACTTGCACTAGTGTCCGGTGGCACTATTCCGACGCATTGGCGCGCCGTCCATTCGAAGCCACTTTCGGCTCTCCTCTGGTGCTTCATTTCTTTTATTGCAGAGAACGTGCCGCCTCGGTCCACGTAGAGGAGAAAGACGCTCATCCAGCGATAGCTCTCCCTGTGTCGACATATCTTTTTGGGGCATCGTAAAGGAGAAACTTAACAAACAGATGACATAAGGGGCAAGAAGCTTCGGCTAGAGACCATTTGTTTTTTGAGAGATCATCAGATCATCGGGGAGATCATCAAAGGATTTGTTTTCATACATCATCGATGTGGGGTTTGAAATAAACGAAAAACTTATCCCCTCTCCCCTTGTACCAGAGCCCACCACCGGGGGGCGGGGGGGGGGGAGATAGTGGTGCGGAGGAATGAGCGACAAAACAGAGAGAAATGTAATTTTGCTCCCCACTATTGAGTTGATAGCGCCAATCTAGCAAGGCCTAGGATGTAGTCAACAAGGTTCGGGCCCAAGAGAGAGAGAGAGAGAGAGAGAGAGAGAGAGAGAGAGAGAGAGAGAGAGAGAGAGAGAGAGAGAGAGAGAGAGAGAGAGAGAGAGAGAGAGAGAGAGAGAGAGAGAGAGAGAGAGAGAGAGAGAGAGAGAGAGAGAGAGAGAGAGAGAGAGAGAGAGAGAGAGAGAGAGGAGAGAGAGAGAGAGAGAGAGAGAGAGAGAGAGAGAGAGAGAGAGAGAGAGAGAGAGAGAGAGGGAGACAGCTAGAATACCGAAAATTTTACGCTTCTGATCTAATTTCTTCAGTAGTTATGACAATCAAACCAATGCGTAAAAGCGTCGTTGGCTCGCTGATGAGCTCTCGTCAAAATGGATGGTGTCGCAAGCATTGACAGCATAATTTTGGGGACGGGTCCATCACTGGCATGAGACCAGGAGGCGCCCTGGACATCAAACCGACGCTCCCACGCATTTCACGTCACTCTGTGTTGCGTGTCACACTACTCTTTGTCGCGCGACGCACCCTCACCGCTCCACGTTCGTGACGCGGCTGGCAGACGCTTTAGCCGGCAGACAACGTCACGGCTCCCATGCGAGCAATAGCCGCTCGTGGTCCGCCAGCCGGCATTGATCGCATTTTTTTGCCCCCAATTCGCCTAAAGCCATGTCCGAGGGAACGTTAGCTGGCAATCACCGGGGAAGGATTACCTGGGCCGATCTACGCCATTCGGGCGTCAGAAACACAAACGCGGCGGCAACTCGCCGGCCGCGGATGGGCGCGGGGCCGAGCACAGACTGCGCGGCCAGGCACGCGACATTCCACGTCACCAAGCACCAGGGCGGAATGCGCTGTTCGGAGTATGCATGGCTGGGGACGGCGGAATCGATAGCAAACCGTGCTTTGTCTCACTCGGTGTCATTGCGAGAATAGCACGGGTTCGATCTGGACGTCCTGGAAGTCTGGCGCCAGCCCATTGATTAGTAAACGCGATCCATGAGGAGCAATAAATGAACTGCTTGTTACCCTTCTCACGAGGTGTTGCCTTGGCATAGATGATATTTTTGCCTTCTAGTTTAATCAACAAATTTGCTATTGACGGCAGGGCGACGTTGTTAGCGGATGGCCGTCTGGGAATGAGCCAATAATGTCTGAGAAGGATAGATAATGTCTGGGAAGGGACCCGCTGTCCTGTCCCCAGTCCATCCTGTCGTGATGACCCGCTGTTCTGTCCGGCCCCTAGCCGAGCCTGTCGTGATGACCTGTTGTCCTGTCTGGCCCCCAGCCGAGCCTGTCGTGATGACCTGTTGTCTTGTCCGGCCCCCAGTCGACCCTGTCGTGATGACCTGTTGTCCTATCCGGCCCCCTGCCGAGCCTGTCGTGATGACCCGCTGTTCTGTCCGGCCCCCTGCCGAGCCTGTCGTGATGACCCGCTGTTCTGTCCGGCCCCCAGCCGAGCCTGTCGTGATGACCCGCTGTTCTGCCGTCCCCCAGACGACCCTGTCGTGATGACCCACCGTCCCGTCCGACCCCCATCCGAGACTGTCGTGATGACCTGTTGTCCTGCCCGGCCCCAGTTGGCCCTGCCGTGATATTCCACTGTTCTGTCCGGCCCCCAGTCGACCCTGTCGTGATGAGCCGCTGTTCTGTCCGGCCCCCAGTCGACCCTGTCGTGATGACCTGTCGTCCTGTCCGGCACCCCAGTTGACCCTGCCGTGATATTCCGCTGTTCTGTCCGGCCCGCAGTCGACCCTGCCGGTGGGTCGCGTGCTGCCGCCGCTGCGCGGGGCGCCACGCATATCGCCGTCGCTCAGTCAGGAGGAGGGGGAGCCTCGCCTGCACAGTGGCCTGCTCCAGCTGCGGGACGCTGCTGACCTGCAGTCGGTCAACTCGTCCTCCGACCTCCGCCCGCAGACCGGCCAGGTCAGACGGGCCGCCGCTGCTTATGGTGTCATCCACTTAAGCGATGAAATTAAAGCAATTTGTGCGCTGCAGTCAGATAATAGGACATTAATGCATGTAACCGTGACCTTGAGTTGCAATATGGTGATGTATGTGCCGTGGATTAATGTGAGAAAGCGGTAGCTCTTTTGGATCCTCGGTAAAACGGACAGCAGTGCTAGTTTATTTGGTGTTCTGTGTCCGACGTGATTTCGGAAGATGCGTAGCTTTGACTATTGGCCCCACTACCGTGAAAGCGTGCTCATTTTCCCGTTCATTTCAGAGAACAAATGAAAGACCGTTAACTGGCGCTGGTACCACCGTCACCGAAGATGGAAAAGGCGAGTTTTAAGCTTTCTGGTTAGTCTTGGTTTTCCGGTTGTCTATGTTATTGTTGGCACCAGTCAACGACTGCAAAGGAAACGCTAGTGTTAAGCCGTAATATCGGCTGAATGGACACGTGCAAGTTACGGAGCAGTATGTACGACATTCTGGGGTCCTGCGCTCCTCTGTCTCTCCCACACTCCTCTCTCCTCTCCTCTGAACGTCTTAAGTAACGTAAATGGCTGCTGTGTTTCAGGCTGCAGCCCATTATCCAAGCTGTTCAGCAGATTCAGGAAGTCTCAAACTCCCACCGCTCACGAGGCTGTGAGTCTGGACAGCCCCAAGGAGCCCAAGGAGGAGCCGGATGATGAGAGCCGGCCAGAGGGCGCCACATTTCGCGGTGAGCACCGCCCCCAAAACTGCAGCTGTGCAGCGGCTGTTGCCGGGTCACACTTTCAGGTGACGTTTGCCAGGTGACTACCAGGTGATTTGTGCCGAGTGGAGGTCAGGTAGGGTATGATCGCCCAGGCACAATCCACTCTCTATCGGTGGAATCTGTATTGTGCTATACCAGCGCGCTCCTGATGCCAATGGCTCGGCTACCAGTTTTCAGCATGCGGCTTCAAATTGCGCCAGATGTTCTGGAACTTATGTCTTCAGGTTCACCGGTTTCCTCGAATTGCTCCGAAAGTTATTCAACAGAAGCTCGTTACGACGACAAAACGACAAGCAATAGTACTCTGTGATGTGTCATAAAACAGCTACGTGACATTTTTAAGCACCTACACCCAACCGACCCTACATTCAAATTTTTCTCAAAGTCTCTCGCAAACCCAGCCGTTTATCATTTCATGGGGTTCTCATTTTTTCCCGACCCGTGAGGGCCCCTAATACTGGTGATTCCGTCTGTGCCAAGTGACTGCATTAAGTGATCGCACCAGATGAACCCACCAGATGACCGCACCAGGTGACCACACCAGGTAACCGCACCAGATGACCGTACCACGTGACCGTGCCACGTGACTGTACCAAGTGACTGCACCACGTGACCGCACCACGTGACCGCACCAGGGGCCGCGCCTGATGACCGCACAGGCGAACGCGCCAAATGACCTCACCTAGTGACCTTATCAGCCGACGGCGGCGCGCCCGGCCTGGAGACCTGACTGCCGTTGCTCCCCTTCAGCAGGTCTGCCCAGCGGCTCGCCAGAGCGGCTGGTGGCCTCTCCGGCGCCGGCTGAGCAGGGTCCACGCAGCCTGTCACCGGTACCCGAGCCGGAACCGCCGCAGCAGGTACGCCACGGCGCCCCGGTGGCGGGCTAAGGCGTGGGCTATTACCGAGAGAGTGCCGAAGCGCCCGCTGTCTTTGGAGCTGTTTGTGTTCAGCAGGCAGTTGGTCAACAAGTGCCTGCTTTAGTAGTTTGAAGTCATCTATGGGGTTGAAGGGGATGCTTAACAGCTGAAGATATTTAAGAAATCATCAAATATGATGAGATAATCTCAGTCATCACTATTCGCATCCTTTTAAGTGGAAAAGACTGCTCTATATAACACGACTGTTCTGTTAAGTAAATATGCTGTATGCACATCATTGTTTGATCACGTCGTCGTACCTGCACAACATTGACTGAGAGTCAGTTGATCGCCGTTATGTCCCGAAATCATGCTCACGAACACCCGATATTAACGATTCGACAATTTTTGTTTTATCTGACCGCCGCATGGCTAATGGAAGGGAAGGATTTTAATGACGTTATTATGACGTCGAGGATGCCTGAGTGACCTTGAAACAGTCTCCACGAAATAGTCTGCACATCTTCGCAGGCGTGCAGCTCAGAAACTGGAGGGGCTTGGGTCGTAAGAAGGGCAAAGCTGTGAAACTACACTGCATGATCTTCGAGTTAAATATTTGAAGTTAAAAATTTAATACGAATGTAGAATACCCGCTTTATGGTAAAATGTCACGCAACTTATTTTCGCACCTCAAGGGCTCCATCACCGGAATCGCTCAATCGCCTTCAGCTACAATCACGTGTTATGAAATGGCGCGTTACATTTTGGCACAATAAACTTCCCGAAAAAACGGATGTGCGGCGCCTCAAACGTAGCAGACACGGGCTCATACGCCTGTCCCGGTTACACGAACCTTTACATCACAATAAACACCGGCATAAGGTGTCGATTTCTCCGCGAGGCAGGCGGCAGCACTTGTGCTCTTCATGTGACGGCAGCGGTCGCTGCTTGCTAAAAGGTGTTTTGTAACCATTGTGAACGAGATCATGCATCTGGAACATACATATGTATGTGCGATCTACCATGACACTTCTCGGCATGCCTGTGGCACACTTCGACATGCCGTGCTTCGCTGCTAACTTGGAAGACAAGTTCTGCAAGGTTGTACATTAACGCTGAGTGTCTAAAACCTTACGATTCTTGAAACGTTAGGTACAGCTGTTGCGTGCATCACTGTCCTGGGAAACCATCGCGCTTACACCGTTGTCTTTGCAGTCCAAAACGTGCATAATACTGTGAGCTTCGGGAAGAACTGTCCAAGTGCCGACGACTTCTGCGGTCCAGCTTTCACCGAGCAAGTGCCTAAGAGAGCTTCTGAGCCGCGTCGACTCCGGCGTGTTCAGGAAAACCCAAGGCAGAAAATTCCGAAGTGAGCGAGAGTACGGGCAGACGCCAGTAGCCGACTAGAATCGGCTCCAGCCGGTGTGTATTCTCGCACTGGTGTCACCCGCAGAACGCGTGAATGCGTCGTCATCGGTGTCAAGTGTTGACACGGGGCCAGTGGGGATATGCAAGAGTCTGACATGTACCGTCACGCGTGACGCACCGTACTTTGTGATAACAAGTGGCACAGATCGGGCGTGACGGCAGTGTTTGTTGCCAGTGCGGCCCAGCCCCGAGCCTTGGCTAAACCTGACCGCAAACTGCGGCGCGGAATAATCCCGCTTCTGGGGTTGCCGAGCTGCCCACAAGCGTTCGGACTGATAATTCTGGAATCATCGGGTCCGTTGCATTGGGGGATAGGAAAACCCACACCATAGTCCACGTGTCAGACTTAGACGGCCAGCCCTCATGTTGGCATGCCTATCATGGCATGTAGGGGCAATGGTGTCATGTGATTGTACTTCATGACCGAGCCTTGGTGGTTTGCTAGATTGATGGTTTGATTATGCCTAGAACGACATGGACCGCGTGACCACCGACCATGGACAGCTGCTAACCTGTAGATGAGAGACGTGGACCTGCTGGCATTGATAGCTGCTCCTGACGTCTGTCGGGCTAGCTGCAATGTCCTGGTCCCTTGATCAAGGACCCTGCATGATTTATCTTTCGTCGTCGTGGTTCATTGCGTTTTTATGCGTTGTGTTGTGAATGGTGGCGCATTCTCGCGGTAGCACCACATGCATGACCTCTGTTGATGGAAACAAGGAGCGTTCTTCACTGGACGCATGGGAGTGCTCAGGACACATCAGTGCGCTCGTCGATGCAGGAATGATTTCACTCCTCTTATTCAGCGACGGTTCTTCATCGTGGTGTGAAACGCACACTGAGGAATACACACTCACTTGTGATGGAATTAGAGGTAAAGTAGGTGGCAACGGGGAGGACAATCAATAACGCTAGTTGGGGCCAATGCCAACTGCGAAATTGAAAAAGAAACGACCATAGAAGAATGTTCTTGATAGGCTGTCGTTTTCTGCCGTTTGGACGGCGATAAGTTGGCTGGGCCTTTTTATCTTCAGTTGCAAATGTATTCGGGTTTCTGAGTGCTTCGAATTCGCCGCTTGGAGTTCCGAGCGCCCGCAGATGCAGAGGTCATCGCTGGTGCCTCGAACTCATATTTTTAGTGATCTTGTCGATACGAAAAGACAACGTTTCCAATCTGCAGTTAATGGTCGATCCCGAGATCAATAAATCATTTACTTCCGTTTTGATAGCTGTCATCGGAGGCCTTCATGGGTTAGTTTTCCTTTACTCAATCCACCTGTTCCCCATGGGAATGTGCCCATACCCAGCAGCTAACCATTCCAAATCAATTGTCCCCACCCGTTACACACCCGATTACATTCAACACTTCGGCGCTGAGGCGTGGCCAGGAAAATGATCTCGTTGGTATACATTAAATATTGCCACTGCTTATGAGACAAGAGGTTGAACTTCTCCCGCCGGGCGCGAGCGCGGGGGGGACAAGACTTAACTTAACAAGACTTAATATTTCACTTAACAATCGTCACGTGACCACTGCAGTGGTTGTTACACAAGTACACCTCCATATTGCTGTTTATAACGTAAAATGAATGCCAGCATGCAGTGCTCATAAGCAGGTGAAGCCAACGCGGAAAAATGCGTGATGCTTGGTGACAAATAGCCGCGGCACAGGTGGCAGTAGCAAAACATTTATTTTAAAAAGCAGCTAAAGAGGGGATGACAAGATCTATACGCAAATCAAATCATTTCGATAAATAATGTTACGTTTCTGAGACCCTTTGGCTAACATTTTGTATTATCAGTGCAAACATAACGGGACCTAGGCTATAGAAAAGAATTAAAAACTTCGCCTTGTTATGAACGTGGTACGACCATGCAAAACATCCGTAACAGGGATGTTTTCTGCCTGGAAGAATTCATGTAATTTTCTTCCAAGAACATTGAAAGAGCATCGCATTGCTATTGCAAGTAGCGTGCAGAGTTGCTGCACGCTCTGTAATTCACGTGCTTGGAATCCACCAGGGTCGGGTAATTGCGGTCGTCAAAGGCGTGGAAGTCGCTGACAAGCGGCTTTGACCGCCACTTGCGCTTCACAGCCACTGATTTCCCCATTTCTGGAGATATCTTTTAGAATGAGCTGTGATTGAACAACCGTTAGAGAGAATGCCCCACCTTTGGAGCATATTTCAAAAACATACTTTGGTAAGAGCTTCAGGACCAGTTATGACTGATAACAGCATTGGGTAGTACCACTTCTGCACCACAAAGATGTAATGAGGAGATTAGTTCGTATTATTTTCCCGTTCAAATTGCGCAGTCAACATTTTATGATAGCATTACCTTTATTTCCTCCTTGGCAACCCCAGAGTGTAGCCGTAGTCCGTGACAACTGCAAATGTCGCGACTGCCACATCGTCGTTATGACGACAACCGAATCTGCTAAGGGCCACCGTCACCTGTTCTGGACTAGAGGTGTCACTTTTGATTTGCTTTAACCCGCTCATTGCGGGCCTTCGGGCTTAAAAGACAGGCGACTATTCGCAGACCCTCCACATTCAATGTCTGCTAGTCCTGCTGTCGCCCATGAACGGTATCTTAAATCACACCGCGTGATTGCGGCGTGCCGCAGTAGAACTCTAACCGTGGTCACCACCATCATGATAACGACCACCACTGTCAGGCATTCATTATGAACCATTATATACATAGATGGCTTAATGCTTGCTTCGAGTCAAAAGGCGACATGTTACGCGATGCCAGAGATGATGCAGCTATGGTGAAAACACGTTAAGAACCTAAGAAGAGCGCACAAGGGCAAACACTTCCCTCAACGTCTCATCTGTCAAGTATCGAAATGAACACAGCACTACTCTGGGGGGTCACAACGGTTGGCGGCAGGCGGCTACAGTCCAAGGATGGGCCTCACGACATAGAAATGCCCTTTGCGACATGGGCAGCCAGAGAGACAACAGCTACAACGAGCCGTCGGCCACCGTCCACCGGACGCCCCGGTCCAGCAAAAAAAGGCATCCTTTCGTTTTAACAACTCCAACTCCATATTTTCTCGCCGTCCGTGAAGATGCTGGGAGTTATCTTCGATCCTGCACTGTCCTGCAAGTAGCACATCCAAAAAGAAGAGCTCCAATTCCAACCCGTTTTGTGTATATTAGTATCAGATTCGTCCCCATTTTACGTCTACAAGCTCTATACCGGAGTTTGTGTTTTCCCTCCCATCTTGTACTGTCTCTCTGGCTGGGGTATGGCCGCTGCCTGCTGCATGTCAATTGAGTGCAAAAGGTGAGTTTCACAGCCTGGGCCATGACATGGGCGCGGGGCCGGGACCACGCTTGATCGGCCTTGCAGTTGCTGGGCTGGCACGACATGAGTGACCTTGGTACACGCTGTGGCCACGTCGGCGTCTTCAGCCTCCAAACGACCCTGCACCCCGATGGCAGTCTGGTCGCTGCCCCCCCCCCCCCCCCCTCGCACCGCTGTTCGTCGGCGCGTCACGTAGGCGGCGGTGGCCGTCGCTTTGGGGCTGCCCACTCTTCAGCCTAGACAGCCGGAAAGACTGAAGAAGACTGTTAGACTGGCGTGCAAGGCGTTGTCATTCTGTGCGCTTCGTTTTAGAGCCGCCTGCCGCCGACCGTTGTGGCCTCTCGGGACCGCGCTGTGTCCATGTCTCGACTTCGTAAATGGTACACGGAGGATAGTGTTTGCTTTTGTGGGGCGTTATCACTTATGTTACGTCGGCGCATCGCACCATAATTACGTCGCATCGTCTTTTCTATCGCACAACATGAAACCCGCTGGCTCAAATGAGACATCAGGTGTTAATAGTGAACGCTTCGTAATGAATATATGAAAACGATGATGATAATGGTGGCGCCGGTCATGATGTATGGCTCCATTGGGTATGGCTCTATTGGGCTCGCCGCATGCTCTACACGAATTCGTCGCTTGCAGCCCGCCGCCCGCGCCGGCCGTGGGTCGCCGTGCAGCGTACCTCAAAAAGGACATCGCTGCTCTCAAACCAGAAATGCTGGCGACATGTGTCTGATGTCAAAAGACGCGTATTTGATGCCCTATGAGCTGCTGAAAATTTTGGACCCGATTGCACGACATGTCGGAAAGGTATTCTCAGAAATCTCAAGTGTGAGGGTCACATTGACCCCCCCCCCCCCCCCATACCAGGGCGAGGGCTAAGCGTAAATTCATCATGTGCGTTGGTACCAATGATATTGAATCACTGTAAGGTGGACATGCAGTTTTCCGGCCCGCTGGCACGGCATCTTGCCGAATGCCGACGTGACGTGTCCGAAGCAGGGCCTGACCCCGCTCGTAATAAATAATGCATAACAAGCATACCACGCATAGTTTATTGAAATAGGAGGGAAACATGACGTGAAGCTACTCACGCCCTCAATGTCCAATACCTGTGCAATACGCATAAGCCTTTTTACGCAAGCGTTCTCTAGACGTCATTTGGGGGACGTAATTTGATACCAAGTCTAAAATACATGAAAACTAGAATGGACCGGAGGGAAGCGTACAATGCTTGACAAACTCGCCCGAAAATCTGAAATGTGGCGATTACGGCGTCTGTAAAGAAGTGCAAATGGAATCACGCTTCTGCTCAAGCCTGCGTTTGACATTGCGCAGTTTACAAACAGGATGCGTCTCACCATGTCGTGGAATGCGGCCTGCGGCTGCGGCAGTCGTGGAGCGGCAAGCGCGTCAACCAGCGCGTCACGGAGACGCCGCCGGCGGCGGCCATTTGCGGCGGCTGCGGCGAGTCTGCCGCAGTTCCGGCAACCGCATTACAGAGTGTCGGGTGAGTTACGACGCCAGCATTGATAGATATCCTTTTCATTATTGTCATCAGCGTGTACCGGCGTGTGGGGCGCGCCCATTCATCAGAGCAGTTGCGGCAATCTCGGTGTGAAAGCGCCGCCTCTAATCGGACACGGGAGCGTTGCTTGTGGCTGTCGGTCGTGCGCCCAGCCGGCCTATACGGGCTCCGAACACGCACACCTAACCGACGGCACCGGCAAATGAAAGCGTGCAAATCAGCGCCCGCAGCGCTACCCTGCGGCCGACATGATGAAGCTGTTTTGGCCGGGCATTTCGCGGCATTTAACGGCGTGGTCGTGTTCCAAATTCAAGTGAGCGTTCATTGTCTGTCAGCTTGTGGACGCTTCTTGTAAGGGGAGGATTGAGTGCACTGGTGTGCCGTACACAAGATCAAAAGACAAGTCATGATATTATCAATATTTCAGCTGTCATTTGCATTGCTTCGACTCATTGCACACTCCGACTGCGTCCTTCATTGATGGTCCTAAGCCCATTCGCGCTCCTCGTCCAAACGCCCTCCTTACTCGTGGGTTGAGAAGCTGTAGGCCAAGATAATCAAAGGAACATGGGATTTAACTAAATATCACCATTAAGGGGAATGTTCCACATTTGAAGATATTGAAACAAGCATGAGATATGATGAAATTAGCTCACTGGTATACTTTTAAGTGGAAAAGCCTGCTCTAACCAGCACAGTTTTCTCTGGTAAGTAAATACGCTGCTCAATTTTTCATTGATTGCGTCATCGCACCTCGCACATTGATTGAAAGTCAATTGAC